AGGCTGCAGGGATCCATGACCTGCCACTGCACTCCAATCTAGGCAAGAGAGTAAGAACCCAACTAAAAAAAAAAAAAAAGAGCTGGGCGTGGTGGTTCAAGCCTGTAATCCCAGTACTTCAGGAGGCCGAGGCAAGAGGATTGCCGGAGTCCAGAGGTTCTAGACCAGCCTGGGCAACTTGGTGAGACCTTGTCTCTATAAGAAATCAAAAAAGTAGCTGGGCATAGTGGCACGTACCTATAGTTCCAGCTACTTGGAAGGCTGAGGCAGAAGGATCGCCAGAGCCCAGCAGCCTCGTCAGAGCCCAGCAGGTTGAGGCTGCGGTGGCTGTAAGCGTGCCACTGCAATCCAGCCTGGGCGAGAGTGAGACTCCAGCTCAAAAAAAAAAAAAACAAAGAAAGAAAGAAAAAGGTTAACAACTTGCACAAGATTATAAAGATATTAAAGTAGAGCTGGGAGTCAAGTCCACGTCTGTTAACTCCAAGGTCACTGCTCGTCCTACAATGCTATACTCCACTACTTTCCACAAAAGGTTAAGCCCTCTCCAAGTCCCTTATTATCTATTAGCACCCTTATTCTATGGCCCTAGATAAAACTTTCAGGCTACTATATATCATATACTTAGTTGCTTCAAGCTAACAAGAGCCCTCTTAAGAACAGTTATTCAATAAGTAATGAATCCATATACTAGTAATATCATCCAGCCCATTTTGCCATATTCAAAGCCTACCTTCCTCACTCAATTATAAGGTTCATCTATTCTTACCATTAATTAAAGTCGGAAAAGTGACTTCTCAGATTCATGAGTAGTTTTCTAAAGTTATTAATGCTTTTAATTACGTATTTAAGGAATATTTTGGAGGCAAATTTGGCAATGCCTGCTGTACTATTAACATTTGAAACAACAATTTAACTTCCATCAATGTATCCTATAAAAACCTATGTTTACAAAACTGTACCAAAAAAATACATGTAAAGATGTGTATGACAGCATCACTTATAATAGCAGAAAGTAGGACAAACAATATCAATGTCTGTAAATAGGCAAGTGGTCAAAAAATGATGGTACATCAATGCAGTAGACTACTATACAGTTCAAAAAAATCAAGGAAGATATATAGCTGCTAACATGAGAAAAATATAATAAAATTGTTAATAATATTCAAATGGGAATTACATTTTAGTAATTTTTTTACAAGAATATATACTGCTTCTGTAAGCAAAATAAGCAAAGAAGTCAAAACTCAACACACTGATATGTTATGGGCCTCCAAATTCCTTAGGGGCTGCCGCTATTGCCCCTCCTCTTTCCTCATATGTTTGGATTCAAATACTTAAGTGTATTCTCTATGCCAAGTAACTTACTAGGGCCTGAGACTAATAAAGTTAGTGACAGAGAATCCTTGCCTCTGTTGAATTTTTTTTTTTTTTTTTTTTTTGAGACAGGACATAGCTCTTGTCACCCAGGCTGGAGTGCAATGGCATGATAACTCACTGCAACCTCCACCTTCTGGGCTCAGGCAACCACCACCACACCTGGCTAACTTTTTTTTTTTTTTAATTTTTGAGGAGACAGAATTTTGCTATGTTTCCCAAGCTAGCCTTGACTTCCTGGCCTCAAGTGATCCTCGCCTCCCAAAGTGTTGAGATTACAGGCATCAGTACCATGCACAGCCCTCTGTGGAACTTATCATCATCAAACGGAAAAACAAAAGCAATAATAATAAACTGTGAGAGTACCATAGAAATGAAAGTAGAGTACACAAGTGGGAACAGTAATAGAAGAGCCTAACCTAGCCTTGAGGAAGGGCAGCAAGCATGACTATCAGTTAGAATAAGGCCATTGCCACTATGGCGTTAAGCTGGTTGCACAGCCTTTGCAAGCTTGGTGAGCACTAAAGAGACTAGTCTCTCATTTCATGAAGCCCAGCAGCACTGTAACAACTGTGCAGGTGATGATCATGTACACTGTATCCCTTTGATAAGAGTGGAAAAAAAGAACTTATCCAGGGACTGGTTCTGGAATTTCAGAAAGACGCAAATTCTATGCCCTGTCACAGCATGAAAATAAGTTGATGAAAAAGAATCTCAATTACTTTAGAAGTAATTGTCACACTTTTTTCACTTTATTTTTTTAATTCACACGCTTTTGTAGAGTGTGACTGATGCAGAATGTATCGCAGTTTGTGACATAAAAGAAGTAATCAAGTCCTTGCTCATCATTCTCAAACAAGTGATAGAAGAGGTAAAGAAAACTGAAAGGGGCCATAGTGTAGGATTTCCCACAGGTTCACAAAAGAGTGAATAAAATCAAAAAGGTTTTATTGCTTCACAAGGCCCCTTCCACATACTTTTTTTGTTTTAGTTTTTTTGAGTTGGAGTCTCACTCTGTCGCCCAGACTGGAGTGCAGTGGCCGCT